TGTCCCCCTATATCTAAACAGCAGGCTCTCTTTAGTCTCTGCTCAAATGTTGCCTGCCTTGCGGGGCCTTCCCTGATGACACTGTCTAAAACAGCACTCCTAACTTAGAACTCAAGCACTCAAAATATTATGTCACTATTATATCAAGATTAAAATAATATGACTTCACAAAGAAAAAAAATAAAAATAAAAAATAAATAAAACAGCACTCCTGACACCTCACCTGCATCACACACTGGTCCCTTATCCTGCTTTATTTCCCCCCATGGCACTGACTACCAGCCGGCATGGTATTAAGTGTTTTTTCATTGCCCTTTGTTCCCATTCGAGTGTCATTCCAGTGAGAATTTCAGTGAGAGCAGGGGCTCGTCTGTCTTGTCCACCATTTCCCCAGTGCTGAACACAGTGTGAACGAAGGAAGGATTGAGAGAGTGAAACAGCAAATAAGCGAAGGAAGAACGGGCAGCCTGGGGTCCTAGCAGTCCTCCAGCAGAGAGGACACTGGCACCAGGTCCTTGGACCTCTTGTGCAAGCTCAGGCCTAGGTAAAACCATCAGAGCTCCTGGCATAGGCAGCCCCTGGGCTAGGACACAGTGCCCCCTGGTGACCAGGACACTTGCAACTCCAAGGCAAGACCCCTAAAGTCCTGAAGGTTTCCAAAGACTTTCTGTTCCAATCTGGTTGAAACCTCAGAGTAATTGCCATGAAACAAAGAGGCTTAGATTAAAAAAATAAAAAAATAATATTTTTATTGATTTCAGAGATGGAGAGAAAGGGAGAGAGAGAGAGAGAGAGAGAGAGAGAGAGAGAGAGAGAGAGAGAGAGAGGCATCAATGATGAGAATCATTGATTGGCTCCCTCCTGCATGCCTCCACTGGGGATCCAGCCTGCAACACAGCCATGTGCCTTGATCGGGAATTGAACCAGGACCTGGTTCATAGATTGACACTCAACCGCTGAGTTATGTGGGCCGGGCTGAAGATGTATTTATTGCCAAAACCGGTTTGGCTCAGTGGTAGAGCTTCGCTCTGCGGACTAAAGGTCCCAGGTTCGATTCTGGTCAAGGGCATGTACATTGGTTGCGGGCACATCCCCAGTGGGGGGTGTGCAAGAGGCGGCTAGTCTATGTTTCTCTCTCATCGACGTTTCTAGCTCTCTTTCTCTCTCCCTTCCTCTCTGTAAAAATCAATAAAATATATTTTTAAAAAAAGATGTATGTATTTATTTATGAGATGCATTTTAGATGCCCAGAGTCTAGCATCCAGTTGCACTCTTTTTTTTATGATTGTTGTTTATTTTTGTTAGCCTCACCTGAGGATATTTTTTCCATTGCCTTTTAGAGAAAGTAGAAGGGTGGGAGAGAGCGAGAGTGAGAAACATCAGTGTAAGACAGACACATCAATTGGTTGCCACCCGCATTCGCCCTGACCAGGGCAGGGACCAAACCTGCACACAGATATGTGCCCTTGACCAGAAATTGAACTCACAAGCCCTCAGTCAGGGCCAGTTGCACTCTTAAATCCTGAGCTTGTGGGAGAGGTCTGTGGTGAGGATGGGTAGTTAGTCTGTGAGACGTAGAGATGGAATTGGCTCACTTAGGGCTGTGGTTCCTAATCTTGGATGCACACTGCAGTTACCTGGGGGATTGAAACCACCCTGCTGGACTGAAGCCCAGCCCGTGGATGTGGGCCAGGCATGGGCATTTTTATTTTTATTATTATTTTAAAAATATATTTTATTGATTTTTTACAGAGAGAAAGGGAGAGAGATAGAGAGCTAGAAACGTCAATGAGAGAGAATCATCGACCAGCTGCCTCTTGCACACCCCCTACCAGGGATGTGCCCACAACCAACGTACATGCCCTTGACCGGAATCGAACCTGGGACCTTTCAGTCCACAGACCGACACTCTACCGCTGAGCCAAACCGGTTTTGGCGCATGGGCATTTTTAAAGGCTCCCAGGTGATTCTTAGCACCCAGGGTTGAGCTACACTGTGTCTGAGGCCAGAGTCCAAGCAGAACTCAGGCAGAGGAGGAGGGAAACCAAGTGAAGGAGGGCTGTCAACTACTGCTGAGAAGCTGGGAGAGTCCAGGTCACAAAGGGAGTCCAGGATGCTTTTGTTTGGGGGAACACGGAGGTTGGTGACCCGGATAAAAGCCATGTAATGGAGAAGTGGGCACCACTGGGAGACGAGTTGGTGGGAGGGAGAATGGGAGGTGAGAAAATGGAGACGAGAGGACTCAACAACTCTTTTGAGGACTTTCTCTGTGAAGAGGAACAGAGAAGTGGGGAGACGCTGAAGGAGAATTCGAGTTCAAGGGAAACTTTCTTCTATAGATGTGAAGTTATGGAGCATGTTGGTGTGGCTGGAAATGATAATGATGATGACGATGGAACTAATGGGTGGAAGAGAGGGGACAGCTCCATTTGCCCAGCTGTGAGGTGAAAGGAGTTGGGTGGGAGCACAGATGTGTTGGGAACAGGGTACTTCTGTCATAGGTCATGAAGGACACCGTGCAGATGCTGGTGCACCTGTACGTGAGGTGGTGGGAGGTGGAGGGTATTCACCTATTTTTTAAAAAATATTCTAAATAGAGCCAAAACCGGTTTGGCTCAATGGATAGAGCGTCGGCTTGGGGACTGGAGGACCCGGGTTCGATTCCGGTCAAGGGCATGTACCTTGGTTGCGGGCATATCCCCAGTAGGGGGTGTGCAAGAGGCAGCTGGTTGATGACTCTCTCTCATCGATGTTTCTAACTCTCTATCTCTCTCCCTTCCTCTCTGTACAAAATCAAATAAAATATATTTAAAAAAAAAAAAAAAATATTCTAAATAGACATTTTATCTTTTTATTTTTTTATTTTTAATTGCAGTTGACATTCAGTTTATATTAGTTTCAGGTGTGTGAATGGACAGAGATGAAGGGGAGATGTTAAGTCTTTTTTTAAAAAAAAATATATATATATTTAAATATATTTTATTGATTTTTTTACAGAGAGGAAGGGAGAGAGATAGAGAGCTAGAAACATCAATGAGAGAGAAACATCGACCAGCTGCCTCTTGCACACCCCCTACAGGGGATGTGCCCGCAACCAATGTACATGCCCTTGACTGGAATCGAACCTGGGACCTTTCAGTCCGCAGACCGACGCTCTACCGCTAAGCCAAACCGGCTTTGGCTAAAAAATATATATTTTATTAATTTTTTACAGAGAGGAAGAGAGAGGACAGAGAGTTAGAAACATCTATCAGAGAGATTCATCGATCAGCTGCCTCCTGCACACCCCCTACTGGGGATGTGCCTGCAACTAAGGTACATGCCCTTGACAGGAATCAAAACTGGGATCCTTCAGTTTGTAGGCCGACGCTCTATCCACTGAGCCAAACCTGTTTCGACGAGATGTGAAGTCTTGAAAAGCAGAAAAACAGCTACTCGGGGATGCAGGATCTCTGAGTAGCATGGAGATCCTGCCTGTGTGAGGTTTGAGGTCACTTTGGTAAAAATGATGCAATCAGCCTCGTTGCATGAATTTCTCTGGCTGTGGGCAGCTGCCAGGCACAGAAGAATGTTGGGCCACCCAAGGCTGGGCTTTGCTGGAAGGAGAGAGGAGTGGGTGGGGGTGGCTCAATTGGTGGAGCACAGAATCTACGTGGGACAAGGATAGAGTAGTGGACAGCGACCATGCAGGTAGTCAGCGAAGGTCACTGTAGCTCCGGGCAGTGGGGAGGAGCAGTGTGTGCCACACTGAGGAAGTGGGCCGGAAGGAGAGAAGGAGGTGGCCAGAGGCAGATGCTTGGAAATAAGATTGTGTCACTGTAAAGTGACAATGGAGAGTTACTGGCATGAAGACAAAGTTTTCGATGTGTCAAGGGTGTTGGCAGCTGAGGCAGAGTTGTGGTCAAGGGGCCAGGAGGCCAGGTCCTCAGGGGCCTGATGCTTATGTACATGAGGCCCCAGGGACGGTGACAGGAAGTAGCATGAGGGGAGGACAATAAGGAAGGCACTAAAGTCTTTAGGAGACTTGCTTACATCCCTCTGGTTCGAGGCTCCTTGAACACAGCAATGTTACCAGTGCTCGGCACAGAGTAGGCACGTGGTAAAACATGCAGTGGAGAATTAATGAATGTGTGCATAATGTGTAATTTGATCTTTAGCCTTGACAGTTGAGGAAACTGAGGCTAGAGTTCACTAGAGTGTCTGAGCACTTCTGCTTCTCAGCAGGAGCAGGGTTTTTGGGTGTGCATACATGATGAAGTCCCTTCCACCTACTCCTCCTGCCACCCCCATCACCTTCTCCCCAGTTCAGAATTCCCAGTCGCTAGTTGGGCTTCCTCAGATTTGGCCTCCATACTGCTCTTTCCACAGTCCAATTGTTCCTCCACTGCAGGGTGGTCAGGCTTTTCATGCTCAGCCACTGGCTCCCACTTTGCCCCTTAAGCCTCTGTATACACACTTTTCTCTTCCTCTCTGTGCCCACTGTGCCCGCCCTTGGCCTAGAAGCCCTGGGGCTCCCTGCCTGCCTGGTGCACCCCTCCTGTCCCTCACACTCCATCCAGAGGACGCCTTACTTCTCTGCCCGATTTACATGGAGCCATAATTACCTGCACCCTGCCCACCTGCTGGATTGGACTTGCGACCGCTGGTAGCAGAGGTCAGGTCCAGGTCATCCATGCCCCTAGAATCCAGCAGAGGGCACTGGTGTTTGCTGCAAAGCATGAGAGGGAGGGTCTGTGTGCCTGTGTGGCCCCCAAGTGCCACTGCCAGGAGCTGAAGTGAGGATGTGCGGGCTGTGGACCACAAGGCGGGACCAAGAGGGGAGCCAGAGGCTTTATTCTCAGCAGACCTGTACACTACACACCGAAGGGCCGGCAGGGCTCTGAAAGGGCCTCCTCAGGCCACCTGCCTTGGCCCCAAAGGCCAGAGCTGATGCAGAGTTGTGTCCCCAAATAGCCATTGTTTGCCCACCCTCTTGTCCCAAGCCAGGTCACACCAGGTGTTCAGGGCCTGTCGCAGGGAGCTGGGCCCTTCTTCCGCTCGCGGCTCAGCAGCGTCACCAACTTGGCCTTGAAGCCTGAATGGGCACCAGAGCGGCCAGAGACCCCAGCCTCGTCCCCATTGTCATCAAGGTCCAGCTCCAGCAGCCGCCGGTACTGGGCCTCCAGGCTGCTGTCATGGGCTGGGCCGGGCCAGCCCAGGTCCTTGCTGTTGTGGTAGATGGGGCTGGCTGGGGGGCTGAAGCCCCCGGGGCCCTCCTGCGCAGGGCCCCCCAAGTCGGGCGGTGCAGGGCCAGCTTCCAGGGCACACAGGTTCTCGTAGAGGTGCTCAGCGCCGGCCAGGGGCCCGCTGGCTCGCTTGCACACGGCGGCGTACAGCCCAGACTCCAGGGGCAGAGGGGGCAGGCTCTGCGGCCCAGGCTCGGCCAGGTGCACCCTACGGGAGTCTGAAGGTAACTCAGACCCTGGGGGCAACTCTCGCAGCTCTCCAGGGGGCTCCAGCGAGGGCAGGGAGGTGGCCCGAGGCAGGGGGCAGGGCCGAGGCCCCACCAGCTCTGGCAGCCGCTCCTTCTGGCGGGTGATGGCCGCAGCCACGACCCCGCACAGGTCTCGCGCTCGGGGGCTGCTGAAGGCGAAGAGGCCCTCCCCTGAGTCACAACGGCGGCCAGCCTCGAAGGAGAACACGTCCTGGCCATGGGTGACAGGGGTGGGTCAGCTGCCAAGGGGTTCCCCCATCTCCCACTGACCCCTAGTCCCCTCCACTGCAGGCCCAGGGCCTCACCTTGTCGGAACCAAACTTGCGCAGGAAGTGGTAGGGCCAGGAGTAGAGGACCTGCGGGCTGGCTGGCTCGCTCAGCTGGATGGCGTCTTGGCCCAGCAGCAGGATGTAGGGCCCCTTCAGCTGGCAGCGGGTAGCTGCCTCCGTTCTCTGCACCACCACCGGAAATGTGCCCACTGCAAGCAGAGGGCACAGCTGCTACGATCCCCCAGAGGCCCCAGCCCTGGGCGTGGCGGCGCTGAGGCTGCCCTGCCCCTCCCTGACTCACCTTCCTGCCAGGAAGAGTAGATTGAGTTCTCTTCCATGGGGACCAGGCCCCGCTTGGGAGCCTCCGCCTCCCCAGATCCGGAGGAACATTCCCCTATGGCCTGGAGAATGGGTGAAGGTCAGAGATTAGAGTCCCCTCCTACCCCCCACTGCCCTCTGGCCCACCTCTTCCTGCATCCTTTTCTCGTGGAGAGATGTCACCTGACACACTGCACAACCCTGGGCACCCCTCTGAGCCGATTTTGCTCCTGTAATCTTACCCTTTCCCCCTGGGGGACTGAGAGCTGTATAGTAGGGACGCACAACAGGATGGCCCCTCACCCTTGCATTAGGCTAGGAACCAGGCCAGCCCATATGTGTTCCCCACAGCTTAGAGTGGTAAAGGGGCTTTGGGGATACGAACAAGTGAACTGGCCATTCACGCCTCCCCCAGGCCTCTGGCTCCATCTCACCCCTCCCTACCCCTAGTTCCCCGTGTAATTCACACTGATCTCAGCACCTCAACCACGACCACCTGGCCCATAGTAGCATGGCCAGGGCCAAATGCTGTGGGTTCCTCCTTGGTCACCTTACTCCTACTCGTTTCTTTTTCTTATTGTTTTTAAATAAAAACCTTAAGTACACCATATAAAATATACCATTTTAATCGCTTTAAAGTGCATAATCCAGTGTTTTTTAGAAAAGTCACAAGATTGTCCAATCATCATCATCTTTATCTAGTTCCAAACCTTCTCATCACTCCACATTAAAACCCTGCTCCAGCCCCTGGCAAATACTAACCTGCTTTTGATTGCTATGGATTTGCCTAATCATGCAATAGGTGGCCTTTTGTGCCTGGCTTCTTTCACTTAGTTTAATGTTTTCGAGATTCATCCGCTGTGAAGCACGTCTCACTCCTGCATTCCTTCTAATGGCTGAGTAATGTTTCATTGTACGGACAGACACATTTGGTTTATCCTCATCAGCCGACAGACTTTTGGATTGTTTAGGCTTTTGGGAATAGTGCTGCTCTGAATATTCTTTTGTATGTTTTGTTTGAACATGTTTCAATTCTCAAGAGAATTGCTGGGTCATATGGTAACTCTTGTTTCACGTATTAAAGAGCCCACCAGACTCTTCATTTCCTTTTGGCCCATTACAGACCCCGTGAAGCTCTAAAACTCAGTCCCTCGCTCAATCCCACCAGAGGCTTCTCCTCTCACTCTCAATAAAACCCAAACTGCACATGTGGCCAAACGTGGTTTCAGCTTGCTTCCACCAGACTCTCACCTCCCTCCTCCTGGCCCTCCCACTCCTTGCCCTCCAGCCAAACCAAACTTTTCTCTGCCTCAAGGCCTTACCACTCTGCGCTGCCTCCGCCAGGACACTCCTCGGATCTCAGTGTCCGGGACCCTCTTCTCAGAGGTTTGCCTGGTGAGTTGTCCTTGAGGACTCAGACCTTCTGTCCCCTCCTGAGAGGCCGCCTTAGACTATCCTGCCTAAGGCCCCTGGTTCATCCTGTCCCACCCGCCTTTCATTTTCTCCATAGCATGGATGGCGAGCTGACATTTTTCTGTGGTTTTTGTTTCCCAGGCTCGTAGGCACTTGGCAGGTATGCTTGGGGAGTGACAGGATGTGAGTGAACATGGAATGAATAAGAGGGAGGGGAGCTGGTCCCCTGGGGCCAGACCTTGGATGCCCTGCCCGCTTGCCCTGTGCTCACCGGGAAGGCCAGCTGGCAGATGGGGCCCATCCATTCCTGGCGGTGCTGTGCGGCCAGCAGGTGGCTTCTCTCGGTGGTGGTGAGCAGGAAGGCGCCGGTGTCCCGGGGGCAGCTCTCACCATCAGCGGGCAGCACCGACACGCAGTCGGCCAGGCGGATGACCCGCCGTTCCCCCCGTCGGCTAGGGTATGCAGACCTGTCGCCTGCTGGCCCCGTGCCACCGTCCCGGACTTCCCAGCTCTCCAGCCGTGCCACGCCTGACGGGCCACCTGCATAGAGCAGACCCCACACCTTCCGCCAGGACTTCTGTGGGAGGTGAGGATGGGGGTGAAGACCGCTGCAGCTCATTCAGCAAACTCTCCTGGCCACCCAGGGTGGCCTTCACCTCCCCCGGCTCCTCAGGGCCTCAGAGAAGGAGGTCTTGCCACAGCCAGCCCAGCAGGGGGAAGAGTCTGTGCATGGGGTCAGTCAGCCCTGGGTTAAATCCACCCCACACTTTCCTAACTGCTACTTCCTGAAGACTAGTGTCCTAGTCTCTCAAAACGTCATGACAATGTGAGGCTGGGGCTTCTACTGGATTATGTCCGTAAAGTATCCAATGGCTAAACCAGAGCACTGGACACCGCTGTTATGTTGGTGCCCAGCCCCCACCTCCCCAAAAGGTCACTTGGGCCACGGGACAAGGACTATGGTAGGAGGGAGGTCTCATTCTCGTGATGGCAAGGAAGGAAACATGCAAATAGTGTCAAGCAAAGGAAACAGACCATTTATCTGCCTGGGCAGCAGCTGCAGCTGAGCTGTGGGGGTGCAGAGCCCGCTGCCTGAGGAGAAGTGAACCCCTTACTATGTCCCATGACAGGCTGGGAGGAGCTGAGCCCGCTTCTGCACGGTGGGGCACCTCCTCTGGAGGCTCCTCCAGCTCAGCCCCCGGCCCTCCGAAGAGTGGAAGGCTGTTGGGTTAGTAAGCCTCCCGGCTGTGTCCTGCCCCGAGGTTTGGGTTCTTAGACCCTCTGATTCTTGGCTTCCCCCTGTACAAATGAGGCAGGGTCTCCCCAAGGCCCACTCAGGCTCAGCTCTTCTGCTCAGGCAGAGAGAGGATGGGCCTCTCCCCATCCCCACATCTGGGTTAGATCCCCCAACCCTGATTCCCATCACCGTTCTCCCAGGTCCAGGTGTGAGGCCCAATTATCCCAGGCAGCCAGGGTCCCCACCTTGCCGAACTTGACGTGCTGCTGGTACAGGATGCCGTCCTTGACGGGGGTCTCCAGAGGCTCCATGGCCGCAGGGGGCCAGAGGGCCACCACTCCGAAGGCCTGAGGCGACTGGTGACAGGCCGAGGGGAACTCCTCACACTTCCCCTTCTGGCCACTTCCCCTCCCTCTGTCCAGAGAGGCAGCTGTACGACAGGGGGAGGGGAATCCCTTCTACAGTAAAGGAGCTAGAATAGGGGGCGGGGCATCACATATTTCTACCTTCAGGTTCCAGCTGGCCAAGGTGCTCACGCATGCCTGGCAGAGGCCCCAGACCACCTGGGGCAAATGACCCATGCCCACACCTGGGTCAGCTGGCTGTGAGTGGGCATCAGGCTGACAGGCTGGCTCTCTGGTCATGGGCTCTGAAGCCTTCCCTGACCCTCAGGGGGGCAGTTGTACAACCTGGGACCTGCATTCCCACAGCCAGACTGGCAAACTTTCTTTCCTACTCGCAACCCTGGTTGGTTGGCTTATCGTTATATCAAAATACTTCTAATAACTCATTTGCTCTATCTTCACAGCCCCTAATGCCAGCCTGAGCATCTCCCTTTGAATCACCACCCCACCCGGGCGATCTCATCTCTCCCCTTTCTAAACCTTTTCTGGCTTCCCACTACCCTCAGGTCTACCCTGGGCTCCTCAGCCCAGCACGCAAGGTGTTAAGTCCTGACCCCAGCCCAACCCCTCCGGGGCACCCCTTACTGTTCCTCTGGGTACCAGCTGCTTACTCTGGGTGGACCTCCCTCACCCCTTCATGCCGTCTGAGCACACAAAGGCCCAGCAGTGTGCCTCTGTCCTCATGTGAGGCTCTGGCCACATGTGTAGTGACATATCCCCAGTGAGCCCCTAGGGAGCTCTTATGTTCTTTTTAAATTTTTCTCCCTGCTGGGGGCCTTTTTTTTCTTTTTCTTTTTTTCTTCTTCTTTGCCTTGCCTTGCTGGAGGCCAGTAACTTGGCTCTGAATGTGGATCTGAATTCTGAAAACAGCCTCATGTCATTTACTCAAAGCCACCTTTGGAAAGGAATATATAAGCCAGCTGAGGAATATAATTTGGGGGTCATATATGGAGTGTGTTGCTTCTCAGGCAGGAAATTTTTTCCAAGTCTTCCTGCACCCGGCTTTGTGCCAAACATGGACCACACAGCCCGGAGCCCCAGCCTTACAAACCCAGCCCTTTGCATTCTCACTGTCGTTTCAACAATGAGGAAATCAAGGCTCAAACATTAAGTAACTTGCAAAGGCCACACACCAAGTGACAAACATGGCTTGAGCAACTGCTGTTCTGCTGGGATAAGCATGTGGCCTTGTACATGAAGTGTCTGGCACAGAGGAGCCACAACCAGCACGGTCCTCTGCCTACCCTTTGCCAGATGTTGAAATCCTGGTTCATTTGTCAACATACTCGTGACTGCTGCACATGCTCATTACGTCTGATCTCTCTCCTAGTCACCTGTGAGCCGCCCAGCGGAGAGCTTGGCACAGAGCGTATCAGAAACTGCTTGTAGCCTGAGTGACAGTCCTGTGGCACCAGCTGCTCCTCAGCAAACAGAGTGGAGGGTTCCATACCCGAGGCAGGACGTTGTAAAGGAGCTTTACACAACCAACGAGGAGGAGGCTGGGCAGGGCTGGAGCCAGAATCACAAAAACCCCGTCAAGGATTTTGCCTTGTCTGCCAGTGTGGTGCATCCAAGTCGAATAAAGCTAGATGCCTCCTGCCACAACCTAGCCATCTAGATGTTGGGGAGAGACCCAGGATCTGCCTCAGAAGGGCTCTAGAGGTCAGAGGGTGAGGAGGCCAGGAAGTAATGGACAGACAAGGTGAAGCACAGAGGCAGGGCTGAGGCTGAGACTAGAGAAACTTGTGCTTTAATGGCAACTGGGATAAAGGGGAGCAATAAAAGCAATTCCAGAGGCACAGAGGGCAGGCAGCCAGGCCCAGCCTAGCCCAAGCCAGCTGGGCCCAGGATGCTGGCTTCTTGTCCAGGGTTTGGTGTGTGGGAGGCAACTGGAACCCAGAGGCTGAGGCCTCTTGGAGAGGGATGACAGACGGCTAGAAGTCCATGGAGCTATGGGCCAGGTAGTCCTTGCGGCCGATGTTGCTGACCTGTTTGGTCTGCATGGCCTCGAGTTTGGGGCAGTCGGTGATGCGATGGCCCAGGCCCCCGCAGAAGGCACAGCCTCGTTCTCCTAGGGGCATAGGGAGATGGAGATCAGCATGGTGACAGGGCTAGGTTCTGTGCCTCAGACCATGTCCCCCTGCCCACCAAGCCCCCCCACCCACTCATGTATAGTGTAGGCTTGCTTCCTGGTGATCCTGTCATGCCCCGCTCTGGACTACCTCCCGCTTCACAGTCACCTCCAATCTCCAGCATGGACTCGTCCCCACAGTGCAGCACTTGCAGCACAGGTGGCACCTTCTGCTTGGCCTCCAGCAGCAGGGCTTTGAGGTCCATCAGCACTGACTCATCTGTGGGGGCAGTGGGGAATCATTAGGTCCAACCCTGGGCCCCGTAGCCCGGTAGGACTCGGGAAACGCTCTGGTGGCCCTGGAAGCAGACTCACCACAGGCCTTGTTGATGAAGGTGGTGGCGATGCCTGTGTTTCCTGAGCGCCCAGTGCGGCCTATTCTGTGCACTGCAGAGAGGAAACAGTCTTTGGCCCACTGCCCATGCCTGGGGCCTAGCCCGCACCCCAACCACACAAGCTCCCACCGTAGTTCTCAATCTCCTCAGGCATGTCGTAATTGATGACGTGCTGGATGGCAGGGAAGTCCAGGCCCTTGGAGGCTACGTCTGTGGCCACTAGAACATCCTTCTTGCCCTCCCGGAATGCCTCGATAGCCTTGGTCCGTTCCTCCTGGTCTGGGGAGGGTCAGGCGGGAGCTGTCAGGGTGACAGCAAGAGCCTGGGGAGTAGTGGCAAGCCAGCCAGGCAGGGAAAGGGTTAGGTGAAGGGCTGCTATAGCAGCCAGGTTCACGCCTACACATATGCCATCCTGACCTTTGCCCCCATGGATGGCCACGGCCTCGACCCCCTTGAGCAGCAGGTACTCATGGATGGCATCCACATCTGCTTTCTTCTCTGCAAAGATGAGCACCTGTCCGGAAAGGCCACCTCTAGTCACAGGGAGTGTCTCCACCCAATGACCCCAATCTTCCCCAGCATCCTGCCCCTACTGCCCTCCCCCCTCATCTTAGGGATCCTGGGCTGCACTCACGGGCGGGGGTGTCTTCTGCAGGCACTCGAGCAGATACACCATCTTGGCCTCCTCCTTCACATATTCCACCTCCTGCCACCACAGGAGCTATGTCAGGTGATCCTGAGAACAGGCTCACCAGCCACAGTGCTGCTGCAGAGGCTGGGCCCCCCAATCCCATCAGGAGGTGATTAGAAGCCTCTTGCACCAAGGGCTGGACACCCTAGGAATGTTTCCCACTAAGGGCTGAAGCTTTGAATGGAACTCCTAACGCCCCCAAGGAGGACCACCCACTCTGCTCCACTCAGCTTCAAGGGAGTCTCAGACCCTGCCCTCAGTGGTCAACTGCCCACCTGGATGACATCGAGGCTGGCGGCCCCAGCGCGCCCCACGTTGATGGTGACAGGCTTCACCAGGGCACTCTTGGCAAAGTTCTGTATCTTCTTAGGCATGGTGGCACTGAAGAGTAGGGTCTGTCGCTGGCCCTGAGAGAGAGCTGGGACTGAGGACACATGGGGTCTGGGAAGGTTAAGCAACTGGGACAGTGGGTGGGCAGCCCCGAGGGTGCAGGAGTACCCTGGCCAGGCAGGGACAGGTACCTTGAAGTAGGAGAAGATGGTGCGGATGTCACCCTCGAAACCCATGTCAATCATGCGGTCAGCCTCGTCTAGGGCCAGGTAGCGACAGATGTCTAGGCTGACCATCTTCTTTTGCAGTAGGTCCATGAGGCGCCCCGGGGTAGCCACCATCATGTGCACACCACTGGGGCCAAGAGAGATTGTGAGGTCGGGCCACCTGCTCAGCCCTACTTCTGTGCCTCCCCATCTCTGGCCTCCTTCCCGTCTCTCCTCACCTGTCCCCTCCTCATCAATCCCACCACTTTGCCCGGGGTTCAGCATACGTCTCTCCTGGAGCAGACTGCAGCCTTCTTGGCCAATGCTATCTATATTCCGGAGCTCTTCCCACCCATGTTTTGATCTCTGCCATTTCCTTTCTCTCGGGTCATTCCTCTTGTCCCCAGGAGGGGGCTGTTCTTAATCTCAAATAGCCTCAACTCGCACTCCCCCAGCTCCCTCCATAGGCGGGGAAGGGCTCCCTTTATTGGCACAGAGAATTCAACTGTTCTGTTCTTCCCTGAGGCTGGGATGCCTATCAAGCAGGGGCTGGGTGTGCCCTGTCTGTGACCCCAGACAACTGGTGATATCTACTGGGGTCTGGCTGCACTGTGTGGAAGAGCAAGGGTCCAGCTCTGGCCCACTGCATTAGCCTCCTTGCTGGACTACATACTCAATGACCCTAACCTTTCTGAACACCCCAGGCCCCCCATCTTTGTCTTCTGCCTGGGATGCCCCAATCCTCTGACTTTCCAGATGCCTCTGCTCCATTTGCTATGTCCCCACAGTCCCTCGCCTCATCCCCCTCCCACCCCAGCTGACCTCTGCATGAGACTGGGAGCTCTTTTAATTGGGTCTCTGCAAGGACCTGCAGAATAGCTAAAGCAAAGGATCCTTCAGCTTATCTAGACATTTTGGGGAGGCCCTGGGTGAGGGGTGCTTATGCTCACTGTCGGATGGTCTCCATCTGCTCTTTGACAGACATGCCCCCGATGCAAAGCGCGCAGCGCAGGAGTGGCGAGCTGTCCTCCTGCAGCAGGCGGCAGTAATACTCCAGGATGCCGTGGGTCTGCCGGGCCAGCTCTCTCTGCAGACACAGGGGCAGGGGCTGGTACCAGAAGACAGTCTCCTTGGTGCCCTGCCCTCCAGGCCAGCCTATTTTACCGAGGGGCAGATAATGAGTCCATAGGGACCTTCACGCTTGGAGAAAGGTAACCTCTTTTCTTGTTCCAGGCAGAACATGATGACAGGCAGAGTGAACACCAGCGTCTTTCCTGACCCCGTGAAGGCGATGCCTATCATGTCCCGGCCAGAGAGGCTGTGGGCAGAGGATAGGCTGCAGGTCAAGTTCAGCAGAATGCAGGACCTGCCCATCACTGCCCTTCTCAGGGCCCCAGTCCACACTCACATGGTGGGGATGCCCTGGATCTGAATAGGCGTTGGGTGGTGGATGCCCTTCTTCTTCAGGCCTCTCAGGATGGCTGCGGAAAACAACCCTGACATCACTCTGATGTCTCAAAACTGCCACCATCCCCCTCAAGTCACAAATGATGAACCATAGAAACAGAGAGGGAAGGAAAAGTCTGACAGACTTGTTCAAAGCTCCTAGGCTAAATGGAGACAGAATTCACACTCGAATCTAAAGCCAGCCTCACCTGTCCAATTAAGCTTCCTAGCGGCACAGAATAGTGAGTATCTTCAGCTGGCACAACTGAAAAAGGAGCTTAAAGAAACCCCTCCCCAAATCCCTTCACCCCCGCTGCAGCTGCTGAGCTCAGTGGGAACTAGGACAACCTCACAGATATTTGACTACCAAAGCATGGAGCCACTCCCACTCCCCAGGTACCTGCAGGAAATTTCATTTCCTTGAAGCTCTTGATGGGTGGTGGGATACCATCTCCTTCCACCAGGATGTGGTACTTTTTCCGTACACGCTCATGCCGCTCTTCAGACATACTCAGGACATAACGGGGAGGTGTCCAACTGTGAGTGGTGGTAGGGGTTAAGAGAGGCCCTGGGCATAGCTGCCTTTGGCATGTCCCTGCCAATCTCAGCCACAAACTATTCCAGGTAAGGGTAACTGCTTTTCCAGAGACTATAAAGATATACCTGGTTTTGATTGGATCATCATATGTGATTCCCTTGGCCATCTCCTTCACGGACATCAAGGCTGAGAAGAGAGATGTGACTCAGGGCTGGCTTCTTCCCAGAGGCCAGGCCCTTTGAGATATAACATACCTGTGTGGGAGGAGGTTCAGTCCACTTCCTCCCTGCCCAAGCTACAACCATACCTCGGCCCTCAGCCACACTCTCCAGGATCTTCTCCTCTTCCTTCAACTGCTTTTCCTTGGCAGACTCCTTGCGGGCTGAGGAGAAAAGCAGACAAATGTCAGAGAGATAACAAAGCAGTGTACCAAGCTGAGCCTCTCGCCACTGCTGAGCCCACCTTCAGCCTTCTCTTTGAGGTGCTGGTGTTGATCCAGGAGGCTGACGTTGGACTGAGGGCCCAGAGGGATGTCGTCCTCATCTCCCCGGTGGTCACTGCCACTGTCCTGCTGCTCCTCCTCCGCAGCTCCCTTGCGTCTTCGCTGTAGCAGCTTCTGGAGCTGAGGGTCCAGCAGCGCCCCTCAGAGCCAAGCCCGACACAGAGCTGGGCATCGCGCCCAGGAGCTGCGGCAGGATCCTGGCTTTTGAGAGAAGGTCGTGCCCCGAGGTGCAGAGCTGCTCTACCCCTCAGATCAGGTCGCCAGGCCCTCGGGTTGTGACTGAAGCCACCCTCCCGTGTAGACCCCCTCACTCCACAGACCACTGTGAAACTCCCACTCCTACACTCATTCCTCCTTAGACCCCGGCCCTCACCAGCAGCTGTCGGCGCTGTCGCAATGGCACGTAGGGCACATAGTCCTCGTCTTCCTCTTCCTCCGCCTCGGAACGGCTTCCGGAGGCAGTCGCCTCGTCGGTACGAGCCCGCTACAGAGACCCAGGAATCAAGCCCGGAACCCCTTCCTCCCCTTCTTCACGGCGGCACGCCACCCAGAGAACCCCAGCCTCTCTCCCACCTTCCGTTCCGGTTCCGAATCCTCCATCCTTTTCTGCACGCATGCGCCCCACAGCAGAAAACCCCGCCTTATATCTGAGATCCAATCAGATGTAAAGAAGCGGATGTCGGCGCCTAGCAACCATCTTTGGATGACGGATCGCGCCGAGGGACAAACTTTCTCTAGAGCCGCTGTCTTGTGGGGCGGTGTTTACGTTATCCTTGTGGCAATGCAGCTGGCAAAGCATTGTGGGATGCGGGAGGACTTGAAGCATGAGCTAATGGCTCACACCGAATCCGGTGGCAGGAGTGCTGCCCCGAGGGAAGACCGTCGCTCAGAGCACGACGTCATAGCGCACTCAGGCCGGCAGTCACCGCGCCCTCTAGAAGTTGGGGAGCCCCGGAGCCAGACCTCAGTCCCCAACAGGGTCGAGCGGGCAGGATGGGGCTTGCGGAGTGACTCAAGCACTGCCGCTCTGACTGGTGTCCTCTTCTGAGCACCTATGTTCAGAGTAGTGAGTGGTAAATAAAATACTGACGACGGTGGTTTTCTACTGAGGGTCTGTACATATGTGTGTAAGCTATTATTAATGTAAATGCTGCAACAGAGCTCAGAGGAAACCTGAGTCAACTTCGAGGAGACAGTGATTGGATCAAAGCTTCCAGGAAGTGTGGAATATCAGAGTAGGGAGCGGAGGAGAGGAAGAAAGAAGGTCCAGCAGGAGTGATCTGCCATGTGAAAGTGCAGATTTCCAGGGAATAAGGAGATCAATTGGCCCACATGGAGTAGGGGCAGTCAGAGCAAGGGTTGAGGAGGTAATTTGGGCTCTGAGCAAATTACAGGACAGTGACTGTCAGTAATTTTGGCATTGGGGACTGAGAGGAGTGATGAGTCAGTGCTGTCGTTGTGTGCTGGGGATTGTGCAGTGCTGGAGCAGATAAAAGATGAGCAAGAAGCAAACCTGGCTTGTGAGATTATGGATTAGTTGAGGAAACAAAATATAACCAGTCTTGAGGTTAAGAAGTATCAAGGCATGGTGGAATCATCACCAAGGCAGAGCAAACTGATTCTCATAGTAAAAGTGTCTTCTCAACGGGGATGTGAATAAGCAGGAATTTATGACAGAAGGGTAATCTGCGAAGAGGCAAGTATGTGAACAAGTTAGGAGATAAAGGATGTCAGGCCTAGCTGGAGACTAAGGTTGTAGGTATGGCTAGGTGAGTCCTGGTGGCAGAAGCCAGGCAAGGGGGTCCAAAATGCCACCCACAGAAGTCTTTTATTTATAGGAAAAGTGCTGTTTCAATCAGTCCTGAAATTTTCAAATAAGGCAGAATTTTATTATTTTTTTAAAATGTCTTTATTTTGAAATATATTTTTATTGATTTCAGAGAGGAAGAGAGTTAGAAAAATCAATGATGAGAAAATCATTGATTGGCTGCCTCCTGCACACCCCATACTGCATGTCCCCTGACCGGGAATTGAACTCTTGATGCATGGGACAATGCTCAATCCATGGAGCCACATCTGCCAGGTGAGGTAGAATTTTAGATAGCTGGGCCAATTCAACTTGAGGGCAGGAGGCTGGTACAACAGTTAGAGAGTGAGAGGAACACAGGTAATAAATACACAGAGAAAGGTTTCATACGAGTGTCCATACTTGCCTGGGAACTGGAATTGTGAGCCTGTGGGCAATGCTGTTTCACTTCTTTAGAAGAGGAAGGTGGCACTGACTGCTAGCCAATGGAGGGGCTCAACCAGGTGGAGGGGTGGGATGGGAAAAGGGAGCTGTTTCTGATCCTGCTTCAAACACTACATAAAGGTACTGAGTCCCCCTAGCTGGTTTGGCTCCATAGATAGAGCATTATCAGCCTTCAGACTGAAGGGTGCTGGGTTCGATTCTGGTCAAAGGCACATGCCTAGATTTCGGGCTCAATCTCCAATAGGGGGCATGCAAGAAGCAGCAGACCTATGATACTCTCTCATCATTGATGTTTCCATCTCTCCCTCTCCTTTCCTCTCTGAAATCAATTTTAAAAAAACTTTTTTAAGGTACTTAGTGTGTGGCCACTGCCTCCATCACTCCCCACATGAGCTAAAGTTGATTTTAGTCAAGAAAACAACAGGTGTGTGAGGCATCTTTGGCAAACCTATTATATTAAAATTTGAATTTACAAAGCAAATCTAATGGGGAAGGAAGATAGTTTGCTTTACTTTACAGAAGGGTTTATCCTCTTAACTGTCAAATACTTAAGCTACATGTCTTATTCCCATTGGAAAGTCAGATCCAATTTATAAAAACTCCATCTACACTCCCTCCCCCTCCAAACTTTCCCTGACAACCTCAAAACACTCTCCATAAAAGCCTCAAGCCCCTTCTCACATCAGCTATCCAGACCAAGTCCCATTCCTCCCATTCACCCATTCTACAGGGGAGAAACAGACAGTGTGGGGAAAGGGCTGCTCCCATACAAGGCCTCACAACAGGAGGAAAGGGCACAGAGATGTGTGCTTTAACCTAGTCAGCCAGACTGAGTTCACTAGTCATTTTCTTGTCTTAGCTTTAGTTTCATCTATAAACTTCCCACTTAATAGTCCCACTTAGAACAGATGCAAGATTTAAGTGGAAACATTGCCAAGCCATTGATAACACAGTACATACCTAACATGCTTAGTGACTAAGGCAGACCCCATGCTTCTGATTATATCCCTCACCTCACTCCTGACCCAGTCTAGCAAAAGACCAACACACCGATTCTGTGTCCAAATGTTGTTTTATCTTTCGGTAGGAAAGATCTTCACAGTATCAAAAGTAAGGAATTAAAAAACAACAAACAAACAAAAACAAAAATACCAAACACAAAATGAGCACTGTTGGGCCAGCAGTACCATCAGCCCCTGGCCCACAGGCCAGCCCAGCCTCCGGGCTCTGAATATGGAGGCTGCATAGCACCAGGAGGTGGCTCTGTGGAGGTCCTGAGGGGGCCCGGCCCGGCAGGGCATCTGCTTAGCTTTTGGTTGGTCCAGGATGGCGGGGAGCAAGGAGGGTCTTGGGTGGGGATATGGAGGAGAAACTGTAGACCTTCAGCTGGCAGTTGGGGGTCTCAGGACACCTGAAGAAGCTGGACCCAGCAGGGGCTGAGAAAACAGAGAGCATGACAATATGGTGAGTAATAGTCTTCCCATGCCACCATGCCATGGGTCCAAGGTGGAGGGAGGAACAGTTGCCTCCTACTTTTTCTTCCACAGACTTCTTCAATCACCTATAGCAGAGGATGAAAATTAAACCCTGCTAGGAAACAGCCCCAGTTCTGTTCATCAGCATGTGAAATGTCATCCTAGATCTAAAGAAATGTGGGACTATCCCTAAGGAGCTCACGGCTCTCTATGGCAGGCAGCATACCCTTCCCCCAGGCCAATGTGGAGCAAGTGCTCTGGCAAGTGCTCTTGTGGGTACAGGCAGGGGAGACACTGCCTCAGCACTCAGACTCCTGCTCTGGAGGATAAAGGTCAAAGGAGATGGGGGGAGGGAGCATCTTTTATCTTGGAAAAGAGATCTCACAGGAGGGCCTGGCCCAGGGAGAAGCAATGTAAGGACAAAGTCCTAGGGAATAAATGGCTGCAGAATAGACAAGGCTTGTGCCTCTGGAGAGCATAGGCTGCTCCGCTGTCACTGTGGAGGTGCAGGGACCAGGATACCAAGCCCCCAGTCCAATTCCCTGTGCCTCAGAGCACGAAATGTTCTGGTGGCAACAGAAGCTGGCAGAGCATCAGAAGAAGGTGCATACAACACTTGGGGGTTTGTATACCTCACTGAGCTGTGCTGGGAGTGGTTTTCTTGAGGCTGAAGTTGGTCCAGTTCACAGCAACTTTCTGACGTGTTTGCTTTGCAGAATCCAAACAGAATCTGTCAGGTTTGGGGGATGACACAGAAGAAGCACAATCAAAGATTCCCCAGCCTACTGAACCCCTCTCCTAGACCCCTGTGTTCTGGTCACTAAAGCAGCGAGGTCAGCTCTGTACCACCTCTCCAGCTCCTGGTTGCTGGGGTCTTGCAGGTATGGTAGTTGTGCTGGATGGGGGCTATCAGGATGGAGCACCCACGAGCCCAGGGGACAAGATATGAAGAGTGTTGACACAGCCTTACTATATGACGCTCTCCTCACCCTGTATTTTACTCTAGCTATGCTGGGCTGCCTTCCATTCCCCTAAGGATATGTTTCTTTCACCCTCAAATCTCCGTATGTGCTGACTCCACTGTCACAAATATCCTTGTTTTCCTTGGCCCACTTATTCCTATTCCTCAAGTTTCAGCTTGGTTATCACTTCTTCTGGGAGGGCTGCTCTGTCTGTCCCCACCACTCACTCCTGTAACAGCACTTATTGCCAGACGGTGGGTTTATGCTCTCTCCCCACCTAGACTGTTTGATTCACCTCTGCCCCAGAGCTCAGTCCAGCAGAGTAGAGGAAGTACAAGTGAATAAACAAAGTGAATGAAGCTGGAAAAAGGCCTAGTTTTTGGGGTCTGGCACGCACACCTTCTTCATTCAGTCCCTTGCAGCTTGCCAGATGCCCCATCCTGCCAGGTAGCTTCTTTAGTGTGGAGACTGTGGGGAAAGCCAGGAGGGCTGGAGAGGCTCTCCATCCCAGGGCTCAGGGCTGAGGAAGGCCCTTTCTTAAAGGCCTGGGTGCAGGCGGGACAGCAGGTGGCCCCACACCTACCTCTTGAAGTATTCCACCTCCCGGTCAGTCTCATCCATCTCCACCCCATCCATGTCCTTGGGCAGGAACACATCGTCTAGGAAGACACAGCCAGGAGGGCTCAGTGCCCACAGCCAGGCCTCTGGGTCAGTGCTGCCCACACATGAGGACTGCCCTCCACCCCGTGGGCTGGCAGGGTGGGGGCCAGCCACTGTTCCTGGTGCACTCACCCAAGGAGGCGGCCGACTTTTCCTGCTTGTTGCGGCTCCGGCGGCTGCGGCCCTTGCCCTGTGGCAAGCTCTGTGGCCTTGCTGGGCCTGAGGGCTGCACAAACTCCTGTTGCAGAGGCCGTGCCTTGGCCTCACTTGGCCAGTTTCGCCAAGAGCTGCCCTTCTCCTTGTCAGCTTTTGGGCTGCTAGCCCAGCCTGGTTCTGGCCGGTTTCCTGGGCTCCCCTCTCCGGCCTCAGCATCGCAGCCCACTTTGGGAGGTTCCAGGGTCTTGCCTGGCTGCTTGGATGTCTGGCCTTTAGCACCGGGAGCCTCCAGGCTGGCCGAAGACCTGGGGGCTAGAGTCGCCTCACTCTTCTTAGCCTGACCACCCTGTCTTTTGCCTTTCCGCGGCTTCCCACCTGAGGCCACAGGGTCAGGCACCTCCTGCTTATTACTAGGGACTTCCTTTGGGTTTGGCTCCTCAGAGCTGGTGTTGCCTGGCTTGGGTGTTTTGACCCAGATCACCCGGGACAGGTTGGGCACGGTGTTGAGTCTCCTCACTAGCCCATTCTCGGGGATGATACCAGGAGGAGGGCCCCTCACCTCTGTCCATAGTGGTTGGGGGCTTCTCATTTCTGCCCATGGTGAGGCTGATTCACTTGGAGCTTGTAACATGTGGTTCTGAGGGGAGCCCAAAGTCAAAGGGGAAAGGTCAAGGTTGATGTCAGGCCGGTGCCCTGAGGAGCCATTGAGGTTCAAGGGGGGTAGACTCTGGGTCTCTGGCTCAGCAGCCCTCTCCTTAGAGAAGCCATTGCTGTCCATGTTGAGCTCACACACACTGAAGCTGGCACGGATGGAGTCCTTGACAGTGTTCTTGATCTCCTGCAGACGGCTGCTCAGGAAGCTGTTGACCCGATCCAGCTCCTGGTCAGGCCACTCCAAAAACCTCTCTCTGGCAGGCCTCAGCTCCTGGCTTCCAGAAGCACAATTCACCTGCTTTAGAGATTCTGCTGCCAACTGGGCTTTCTCCTTTTCCTGCCAATACAAGAGGCAGTTTCAGCAGGGGCCTGGCAGCTACCAGGCACAACATGACACTTGACACACCAGCCTGGGGCCCAGCGCTGCCACTGATTGGCTAAAAGCAGGACCTCGAAATCCTGGCCGGCTTTCCCACCTTGCAGGAGTAAAGACGAAGTGCAATCAGACAGGTAGTTAGACCCAGAGGGCAAGGTTTTTACAGCTTGTTCACCCGGAACACCAGTGTCAGTCCTAGGGCCTAAGAAGGCTGGACTCAAAGGGGTGGGAACATAGTTCACTGAATCTTGCCTTCCAGGACTGAGCTTGAGCAATCCACTTATTTGCTGAGTCTCAGTGGACTCATGTGCAAAATGAGGATAATAATTTTGGAGTCAAGACCAAAGTGGGGATGGATGTGAGGAAGATAGCTGTTATAGAGGCATTTCTTCCAATTCTGCAGGTTGTAGGGTAAAAAGCTATGCCATCATATGGATCTTTCAGGAAAGAACATGTGGGGCTGTGAGACTGACATGGCAGATCAGACTTGCTTTGGGTGGTCAAGAATGTGTGCCCTCCTGATGCTGTATACAGGTGCCACTGAAGAGGGCCAAGCTTCCATAGGAAGGCCACTCACTGCTCGGTTGGCCTCAAAAATCAAGACCATACCTAAAGTGTGCCCCAAAGCATACAATGGACAGCCACAAGGAAATCCCTAGGGTAAGATGTAAAAATAGCCCCTTTGCCCAAGTGAGACCCAGGGGGCTCAGGGAGGCTAAACCCTGCCCATCAGTGTTGACAGAGCCAGATCTGGAGAGTAAAAAGGAAAGTATATGGGCTTTCACCCCACCTCTCTGCCCAATCTCAAAGCACCAGCAGAACAAATGAAGCTTTAACAGGAAGAGAGGAGACAGATGTCGAAGGCTTATGGGAAGGTGGTAGACAGATATTGTGCCAGGGACTGAATGACTTCCACTATTTTACATATTTCCAGGTGATTTGGGACCGAAGGGGAAGAACCAGAAAAAGGAAAGTGGGGACATGCCACCACCTCAGAGTCAACTTAAAGAGAGTGACCCTGTTCCCCAACGGGCATACATTTATTTATTTATTCTTATCTTTTTTGAACACTGACCCAACAACTAACTAGGACCACAGCTGTGGGACCTTGGACAAATCACTTTGAACTTTATTATCCCCATTTGTAAACTTGGGAGAAAAATTACCTACTTATACTTAATAGGGTTGCTATGAGGACACCTGAGAGGGTATGTGTCCCTCTCCCTGGGCACAAGTAAAGCTGCACACCTTGACAACGGTGGTGCTCAGATGATGGAGCAGCTCAACCTGGAGGAGTGTTTCCAGTGTGTTTCATGGAGTTCAAGGCCATGGGGGATGCACAAAGGATTGGAAAGCCCTTCTCTTCACTCCTGCCCTACACCAGAACATCTTTGCTTTTGTTAAAAACAGTTCTGGGGAAGGGGGATGAGGAAGAAAGAGGATACAGAGGGGATACATGGTAATGGAAAGAGTTGAGTTGGGGTGATGAACACACAATACAGTGTATAGGATTAAGTGTTGTGGAATGAGCACCTGATCAGCGTCACCCCAATAAATTCAATAAAAAGAGAAAGAAACTGAGTTCCCTTTCATTTTCAGAATAGTTAGTTCTGCTGCTAAACAAAGATGTCTGAAAACTGGTGTAGAGGGAGTGATATGGAACCACATATGATTTGGTCGTGAGAAGCGAGAAACACATTTTCTGCTGGACACCATGAGCTCACAGGCTGTCTCATTTAATCCTCACAACTGCCCTTGTTGCATCATTGTCCTCAATTTACAGATAAGGGCACTTGACTTTGGAAAGAATAAGGAACTGGCTCAAGGTTACGTGGCTGGTAAGTGGCAAAGTTGAGACAGCACATCCAGCTGAGTTCTTGTATTTTTCAGTCCCTTTTGACAATCATTTCATGACCATTGACTCTGAGGCACTAGACTGGGCTCTGAGAATACAGTTGTGCAGATGAGAGTCTCTACTTGTTGACCTGATGTGCTTGGAGAGATGGACACACAGCAAACAGGCTGTTTAATTCTGAGTGTCAGTGACTTTCTGAGTAACAATGACAAGAGCTCTGGAGGATAAAGCACAGGGTGCTCTAGGAACACAGACTGGGCCATCAGGGAATGCTTCCCGGGGGTGGTAGTATCTTCCTGAGCATAAAGGTGAGGAGGATTATCCTGGAATGAGACAAGCAATGTCCTGACAGAAGACAAGCAGAAAGGCTGGGAAATTGAAAAACACAAAATCTTTAGGGAGTGCAAACCACTCAGAGGTACAGTTGGAGTCCGGATTACTTTTGAGGGTAGGTAGGGTGGAGCGGGCAGGAAGGCCAGAGGGACAGAGGTGAAGCTGGCAAGCTAAGCAGGGGCTAGATCCTGAAGAGTCCTGGAGGCCATGCTTGAGTTTGGGTTCGATCCTGTGGCCACATTCAGCCATTTTTAAATAGTGGCCACAGGTGGAGAGAAGTGGATGGTTTGAGCTACTTGGGAGGAAGCATGGCCAGGACTCTCAGTGATGGGTGGGGAGAATGAGATGAGTCACGAAAACAACCCTGACAACCACCTTTCTACCACAGTGGCTACAATGACCAATTGTTCACTGTGCTGAACCTTTTCTGTGCATCACTCCATTTCATCCTCGCAATAATCTGAGTTAGGTTCTACTGTTCTTCTCATTTTATTGATGAAGAAACTGAGGCTGGAAGGTTAAGTGATTTGCCCAAGGTCATACAGCAAGAGTGGCAGAGCCAGTTTCAAACTGAGGTCCAATTCCAAGGCCCACTGCCCTCGGTCACCACAATGCATTCCTCCCAAGATGGCACTCAGGTTCTGATTCAGGCAGCTGGGTGGAGAGTGATGCATCCAACTAAACAGACAATGGAGGAGGAGGAGGTGGAGCAGGCCTCTTGGAGAAAGATAGGCTGTTTTGGATGTACTGAGTTTTAGTGCCTGTGGACTGTCGTGAAGAGGTGCCTGGTAGCAGTAGTGGACATCAGTGTGAAGTGCAGGGGGAAACAAGTGGCCAGATCACACAGGGAGGCAGCACTATCTAGATGGCTTCTCTTTCCCAGGGAGGTATCCTCAAGCAGGAAGGTCAGACAGAAGAAGAGGAGCTCACAAAGAAGACAGAAAGGAGGGCAGAGAGGAAGGTGGCAAATTTGGCATTCCCATTGTCTTTCCTGTATCTCCCTCCACCCCCCAAACTGAGAATGGAGGTGCCAAAGAAATGAATGTTTGAAGAGAACATACACAAAATGTGAGATGTTGCCTAGTGGACAAAGAAGATGGAACAAAAAATATGACTATTTGGCAACAAAGAAGTCACTGATAGCTCTCTGGTGGGGTGGGGGTGGAAAAGAGGTTGTAATGAGATAGAAGACAGTGAATACAGAGAATATTTTTAAGAGATTTGGCTATGATGAGAGGAAAGATATGAATGGGGTGAAACAGGCTGTATGCTCAAGGAACAGTTTGCTTTCAAAATGGAGTACTGGGGGGGACTCTTCCCACTCTCCACATGGGAGTCTGTTCTGTGGGACCCTTTCCCCTTCTCCGTGTGGGAGTCTGTGCTGGGAGATTCTTTCCCCCTCCCCATATGGGAATCTTTACATGGTTCTTCAATCAATTTTCCACCTTTGCTATAAAAAAAAAAAAAAAAATACTAGACACAGCAGAATGCTGATGGGAAAGAGCCCAGAGGAGAGGCTGCAGGTGTAGGACAGGAAGTCGATGGCGGCCTAAAGAGGCAAGACAGGTCTGTATGGACCTAAGCTAGGAAAAAGGGTGTAACTCATCCTCATTATAAGTTTCCCTGGGGCAGTAAGATGTTGAGAGCATGCCTGTCCACTGGCCTTGTGTGAAACAGGATATAAGGTTATTTGCTAAAAAAATAAGGTGTGGGTGGGGAAAACCTGGAAGTTAAAGAATGGAGGTCTGATAAAGGGGCTGTGATGAATGAAGTGATCAGAAGTAAGAAAAGCAGAGGCCTGCTAGGCAATGTAGGGGGCTCAGGCAAGTGGGAGTCCATGCAGCCCTGGTGCCACAGATAGATTCGAGTCAGTGCTCTTCTTGAAATGGATTGGGTTCAAACCCAGGGCTGCGGTTTTTCTGAGTGAATGTTAATGGAAGGGCAATGGGAAAAGGAATTGAGAGTATTGTTAAGAGAGTGAGTAAATGACCTCACCTGGTCTGAAAAGGGGAGAATGGGATAGGTGACAGACTTCAGTGAATAAAGAGGAGTGGGTGGGAGATTGCAGATGACAAGGGCATGGGTCAGTTCCAAAGGAGGAGAGGAGAGAATCATGGTCTGGAAATGATCTAAGGAGGCAGAAACTCACTTGGCTTTATTTGCCTCCCATGGTGGGACAGAATGAGCACTCTATTGGGTGACTACGCAAAGCTGTGTTTTCAGTGAATAGCCAGGTTGTAAGGCTAGGAGATAGGTGGAAGGACACAGGGAGGAGGCTCACATATAAAAAGATAGCCAGGACCGGTTTGGCTCAATGGATAGAGCGTCGGCTTGGGGACTGAAGGGTCCCGGGTTCGATTCCGGTCAAGGGCATGTACCTTGGTTGCGGGAATATCCCCAGTAGGGGGTGTGCAAGAGGCAGCTGATCGATGACTCTCTCTCATCGATGTTTCTAACTATCTCTCTCCCTTCCTCTCTGTATAAAATCAATAAAATATATTAAAAAAAAAAAAAAAAAGATAATGACCATGATGGCCTATCACATGGCATTGCAATTGGCTGCTTCCACTGTATCCTGGTCTCTACTGTGCAGTGAGTTTTGAGTAAGTGACTAGTGTGTGATAAATGGCAGGCTAGAGAGATAGGCAAGGTGCAGCAGGAATACAGCGGAAGAAGTTACCTGAGCAAGGCTGCAAGAGAGGAGACATCTGAACTGAGCGTGGAAGGAAGTTGTCAGGGAAGAGAAGAGAGCATTATTAGTGAAGGAAAAAGAATCTGTGGCACACAGATCTATGAAAAGCACACCAAGGCCTAGGAACTGCAAAAAGTGCCCACTGATACCTAACTGCCTTAAGAGGCCAAGAAAGGTCAAAGAAGCCGGGCTGCCCACAGGACACTTCTGGCCAGGCAATGCTGGACAGGAGGGAGAAAATGCTGACCACGTTCTGAGGGCAGTGGTGGGACCCCGCTTCAGGGTGAAGGACAAAGGTCTTGGTTTGTCCTTTGGGCTGGAAAAAGATGGAAAACCACTGTTGCTTTCCAGAATACCAGGGCTGTTTGACCACCCAGGACCTGGAGCCGGCTGGTTGTCAAATCCAATCTCCTAGGCTGCTGGCTCTCAAGTATGACACTGTGCAGATGCAGCCGGGAGTAGGCAGACAAAAAGGTAATGAGGTGGCAGGGGACCAGCCATCAAGCCCTAGGGCTGCCTGGCACCAGGGCTGCCCGGGAAAAACTCACTGGCCTCAGTTTAGGTTATTTCCATGGCTTCAATTACATGTCCACGTTGGCAACGCCCAGCCCCACACCTCCATCTCCATTTGGATGTCTTGTGAGAACCTCTGAGGTAACATGCCCCAGCTGAATTCCTGTCTTCTGCCAATCCCATCCTTGCTGAGTGAAAGGTACACCATTCTACCGGTCACTTAAGCAAACACTTGGGAAACATCCCTAACTCCTTTATCTTTCTGTCTTGTAATCAAATCACCAAAGCCTGTCACTTCTGCCCCTGAAAATACACCTCTTGTCAGTCCCACCATCAATCATCTGTACTCTGGCTCTCAGCTTTCTCATCTGGAGTATCACTCACCAGGCTACCTTCCACATTGCCACACAATAATCTTGGAACACAGAATCGACCAGGTGTTCTTTGATTAAAGCCCTCCCGTGACTCCCTCTCAGCTGTAGGATCAAGCCTTGTAGGCCCTTCCTCACCGCACTGTCTGTCCTTCCTCTCCTGTTTGAGCCCTGGCTGCACTACTGCTGTGACAATGTCATGCCCGCTGCCAGGAGGGCCCTCCTGATGAGTTGTATTCACTCAGTTCCAGAGTCAGCCTTTTGGTATAGCCATTTCCAGCAAGCCCAAGCAAGATGGGGGGCTTCCCTCATCCCAGTACGTCACACACTAACTTGCTCACCAAGTTTTGTGTCAGTCTCTCCACTGGAATTTAACAAATGCTTTGGTTTTGCTGAATGATTAAGTGTCTGAATGACTGAAGCAAGTCCTGGGCTTGAAAGAATCTAGCAAGCTGCTTCTGAGGCCAGGACTCATTTATCCTCCAGTCACTGGCCCCCAGTCTCCCTGACCCTGATGCCTCCCAAACTCATTCAGACATTCCCAGAGCAGTGAGCCACGCCAAGGTCCTTGGCAGCCAGCAGTATTCATGCCCCAGAAGTCCTGGGAGTTGGGGCAAGGGATTCCTCAGGAAGAAGAGGTGATAGAGCTGGGCTCCCCCCCCACACCCACCTTCTTTTTCAGCTTGTGCCGGGCCCGCTTGGCGGCCCTGGCGCTGTTGGGGACTTTGGGCTCCGTGCTGTTGATGAATTCCAGCAGCTCATCCACATCTCGGTGGTCCACGGCGGGCTCCCCAGGGATCCCGCCCAGGGCGCCCCCCTTCATGGGCAGCTCCTCTTTCCGCCTGGTCAGCCTTGAACGGAGCTTCTCTCGGATCTCGGTATAATTCCGACTCGTCGGGGCAGCGGGTGGCTGGGGAGGGGGAGGTGCTGACATTACACCCTGGGCCTGAGAAGCCCGCAGGACTCCCACCCGCTGGCACCAAACATGTGGTAAGAAGCGAGACAACTGTTCTTTCTACCAGAGCCACAGAGGCCAAATGGCTTCACCTCAGCCAGGAGGTGGGAGGAGGGAGTAGGAGATATGTGACAGCATTGGGAGCACACTGGCATGGGAGCCAGGAAAGCAGGTTTGAGCCCAGGCTTTGTCACTTGGAAGATGTATGACCTTGGGCAGGTCACTGAGTCTTGCGAGCCTCAATTTTGTCATCTCTAAAATGAGGATAACACCTAGCTAAAAGGTGACTAGCAATGCAATTACTTTCATTTCTTCTGTTCTCAACTGCTCTTCCCTCGTTGGTGGCCCCTTCCTCTTCACCTTAGAAGACTTCTGAACTGCTTCCTCCCCTTGTCCAGAGACAGCATGTATTCTGCTCTGTGCCTCCTTCCTGGCACCATCTGTGCACATGGCTTGTCCCTCAGCTGGCTCTCACATTTGGGGGACTGAGAGCTTTTGCTTCCATTCTGCCTTCATTGCACAAGTGTTCACTTCTCAGTGATTATGCCATACACAAACTCATCAGAATTATAGCTTTCCTCTCTGCCATTTCCTTTCCTTTTGCGTAGGGAAAAAAAAAGTCATCTTAAGAGAAACCATGAAAATAGCAAAGTTAGCAAAATGATTAAAAATCCCTACCTCACCAATTTGCTGTAAGGATCAAGTGAGCAGACACAGGTGCGAAGACTCACAGGGTCCCAGCGAGGTTATTATCCCCTTGAGCAAGGGGTTTCTGGAGAGAACAGGCACTCCCCCGGCCCACCGTGGCTGGCCCCTAGCCCTCTCAGGCATGGGCAGGTTCACTTACCGCATTGTGGCCGAAGAACTCACAGTAGCAGCAGTCACAGAACTTCCCATCTCTCTGGTGTGTGGAGGACGAGGTGCAGGAGCTACGCTCTGAGCTGCTGTCCTCTTCCTCGCCTAGCCCCTCATCTGCCTCGCAGGGCTGGGGCAGCTGACAGGCCAGGCCACTATGTGTAAACTTGTGTCCCTTGCACCCGGGGTCTCTGCTGATGGGGAGAAAGACAGGCCCAAAGGTGACGGTGTGGTAGGAGCAGGTTACAACAAAGACCAAGAGAAGCAGCCCACCATCAATGACCCGACTGCCCTTAAGCTGCCTCATCCCACAAAGGTCAAGGTAGTCAGACGGCATTGATGTCCCTCATAATTACAGGGCTATCACCCTCATTATCCCTTAGGGCCCAGCTCAATGCACTGTTCTGGAAAGGTCCCCATGCCTCTCCTGACCTCACCCACCATGTGACCCTCCTGGACTTTGTCTCCATCCTATCATCTATCACACTTTACAATAGCGATCTATTTGTCTCAGATCAACTGTGCACTCTCCAAAAGCAGAGAGTTAGAAACATCGATGAGAGAGAGACATCAATCATCCGCCTCCTGCACATCCCCTCTGGGGCCTCCTGCACATCCCCTCTGGGGATGTACCCACATGCCCTTGACCAGAATCGAACCTGGGACCCTTGAGTCCGCATGCCAATGTTCTAGTCATTGAGCCAAACCGGTATGGTCTCATCACTGATGTTTCTCTCTCCATCTCTCTTCCTCTCTCTGAAATCAATATATATATATATATATATATACACACACACACACACACACACACACACACACACACACACATACATATATATACACATATATATACACACACACACACATATATATATATTTTAATGAAAATAGAATTATTGAGGGGGGAAAATGTTGGAATGACCTAAATATTCAGTGACTAGAGAATGGTAAAATGCACTGTGGAGAATATCCTCCCATTCATGAAGCTGAGGCTCAGAAGACCACACAAGAGGCTGAAAAATGCTAAGTGAAACTGCCGACCATACAGACATCATAAACGCGTGTGGGAAAGACAAGGAGGGAAAATTGCTAAGAAAGGTGGGATTTTAGAGTGGGCAACTACAAATGTATATATAATAAACACAGATCTGATTTATAATAAAAAATAGATTTCTATCTTCTCCAAATAACTATATCTTTCAAAAATCCTATATAATAAAGAAACAATATGCAAATTGATAGTCACGCCCTCACACAAGATGGCTGCCCCCATGTGGTTTCCAGATGATCGCCCCATGTGGTCACAAAATGGCCTCCACAAGATGGCCAGCAGGGGAGGGCAGTTGTGGACAATCAGGCCAGCAGTGTAGGGCAGTTGGGGGCAGTTGGGTTGTGGGGGGGGGAGACCAGGCCTGCAGAGAAGGGCTGTTGGGGGCTACCAGACCTGCAGGAGAGAGCAGTTGAGGGCGACCAGGCCTGCAGGGGAGAGAAGTTGGGGGCAACTAGGCCTGCAGGGGAGGGCAGTTGGGGACAACAGGGCCGGCAGGGAGCCTGTTAGGGATCGATCAGGCTATAAGGGGCAATCAGGCTGGCAGGCAGGAAAGCGGTTAGGGGCAATCAGGCAGGCAGGCGAGTGGTTGGGAGCCAGCAGTCCCAGATTGTGACAGGGATATCAGTTGGACACCTTCCAAGGGACCCCAGATTGTAGAGGGTGCAGGCTGGGCTAAAGACACCCCCCACCCCCGTGAACAAATTTCATGCACCGGGCCTCTAGTATATTAACATAACCTTTCTCAATAACTAGAGTTACTTTAGGACTCTACCTTAAGGACAAGATTCACAACTCAAACACAGATTTCGGTGCAGGATGCTTATAACAGCCTTGTTTATAATGGTTTAAAAACTGGAAATGCCTAAATGTTCAGGGGTAAGAGAATGATAAAAAAAAAAAAAAAAAATATATATATATATATATATATATATATATATATATATATATGCTAGAGCTATATAATGAGATATTAAGGGGCCACTGAAAAGTGTTCAGAATAATTTTTTTTTAAAATATATTTTTATTGATTTTTTACAGAGAGGAAGAGAGGGATAGAGAGAAACATCGATGAGAGAGAATCATTGATCAGCTGCCTCTTGCACACCCCGTACTGGGGATGTGCCCACAACCAAGGTATATGCCCTTGACTGGAATCGAACCCGAGACCTTTCAGTTCTCAGGCCGACGCTCTATCCACTGAGCCAAACCGGTTTCGGCCTAGAAGAATTTTTAACTTGAGAAATCATCAATGTTATAATGTTAAAAAAAAAGTTACACAAAAATGTATAGTGCCCTGGCCAGGTAACTCAGTTGATTAGAGCATCATCCCGATACACCAAGGTTGTGGGTTCAATCCTCAAGTCAGGGCACATGCTAGAATCAACCAACAGATGAATAAATAAGTGTAACAACAATTCGTTGATTCTCTTTCTCTAAAATCAATTTTTTTTAAAAAGTATATCAAAGAGAAACCCAATATGCTACATAGAGAAACATCAAGAAGCTATACTGCAGCATTAGAAATGTATCTTTTGATTGAGGACATTTTTTTCTTTATATACATTTCTAAATTTTTCCAATTTTTTTTTTCTGGTTAATCCTCACATGAGGATATTTTCCCCATTGCTTTTCAGAGAGAGTGCAAGGGAAGGAGAAAGGGGAGAGAGGCAGAGGGGGAAGGGAAGGCAGGAAGGGAGAAAGGAAAAAACATCGATGTGAGAGACACATTTGACTGGTTGCCTCCCCCATACCCCAATTGTGCCCTGGGTCAGGGAGTGAACCTGCAACCCAGGTACATGCCCTTGATCGTGAATCAAACCCTCAACTTTTTGGTATGAGGGCCAATGCTCTAGTTACGGAGCCATACCAGACAGAGCAATTTTCCCAAATTTTAAAAAAATAACAAATACATATTTCTTTTATAATTGTAAAAACTATGAAAAAAACAACCATAAATAGAGTCTACCCTTTAAGTTCCACCCCAACGGTAGTTCTAAGCCCATGTCAGCAAGGAGTTTGTCCTTCAGGCCACTCACTCACCTGTGAGTGTTAAGCAGCTGCTGTGAGCCTGGTGGTGGGAGCAGAGGCCCACTGCAGTGCCCGCTACAGGGGTGGCTGCACCCCGAGAAAGAAGGAGGCATCTTCAGGAGTGGCATGCTGGTGGAAGGCAGGTGGGGGCTCTGACATGCCCCTGGGGTGTGTGGGGCGGCGGCAGCAGCAACAGGGCATTCTGAAACCTGCGCAGGGAATGGTGCTGTGGGGGAGGTGGGCAGCAGGTGGGGGTGGGATGGTGAGCCAAAGGTTCCAGAGTGAGAAGGGATCAGTGACACTGGCTGAGGATGGTGGCCAGTGGGGCTGTTGGGTGGAGCAGTGAGGTCTGAGTGCCGGCGGTGCTCCGAGATGGGGAAAACCTCACCTGTGGACAAATGGGGGAGAAAGGTGTCATAGAGGGAGGGCCCAGATCTCTGGGAGAAAAACCCAAGGACCCGCCTGCCCCAGCACCCTGCTTACTGTGAACAGAGGAACATATTTGAGCACAGTACCTCAGCACAGTAGACCCATGAGCTTTTGGGAATGTCTAGCAGTGCCACCTTGGGCTGGAGAGGTTTCTCTGCAGGCAGCAGTTCGGCTGGACAAGCTTGAGAAGCCCAGGCCTGAGGGAGAAGGCATCAGGAATGCCAGCCCCACGGAAGGCCGTACACTTCTACTGTGGCACAAGCAGGGAAATGTATTCTGTCTGTCAGGGTCTCTCTAAGACCTGCCTGCTCAGGTACTTCTCAGACTCAGGGCAGGATCTGCAGAAACCAGCAAGCAGCAGGCTGAGATTCTGTCTCTGGGTCATGAGGAGTGAGACTCTCCAGTGGCCCCAGAAATCGGAGGAAAAAAAAAAAAAAAAAAAAAAAAAAAAAAGGCTTACATGACTTTGATTTATGCACCAAAATAATTGGAAATATGTACTGTTCAACTCTCACAAGTGAGGGAAAAGCACCCCTCTGAAGAACTCAGCCACTCCACTTACAAGTAGACAGCAATTCCATTATTCACATAGTACATCAATAAGTCACGATTTTTTTTTTTTTGTCTCTGAGGGTTACCTCAGGTTCTAAAGAAGGCATATGAGGCTATAAAACAGGCTAGTAACTGGCAGCTTGCAGGGTCCTCCTCCTGTGGGTACAAGTGCAGCCTTTTATAGCCACCCCATAGGTGGAGAAAGGAGGCCTAAGAAGACAAAGGCACCAAGTCCTTTGCTGCTGTAGGGGTCAGGTGTTCTGTGATTTAGGTCCTAGTGCCCTAAGGGCCCTCCTAGACTCCATCAGTGCCCACCAGGTCCCCTTCTGGCTCTAATGGGAAGAGCTAGCAGAGCCAATGACAGCAGTGTTTTTTATCTTCAGAGTCCTGAGGAAAGGAGTACCCTTCTGCTTCCACTAGAACAGCTCTACATTTACTTAATTTAATAACTGATCTTCTGGTTTGTTTGAACAAAGTGGTTAGAAAAACACAGCTGCCTACATTTCTGAGGCCTGTCTCTTTCCCGAGCTGGGACACTCACCAGGGATGGAAGGAGGACTCCCAAGTGAGCTGCCTGGGACGGTCCCGCTGGAGTGTGGGGAGTTCCAGAGGCCCGAGAGCTTATGTGCTGACAGGAACGAGCTGGGATCCCAGTCCCCTGAGTTTCCATGGCAGGATGAGGACGAGGATGAGGATGATGAAGAGGATGACGAAGAGGAATGAGAGTCACCCCCACAAGACTGTGATTTGCAGGATGTGTGTGACAAGGATATCTGGAGAAGTAAGAAAGAGGCTCATGATGAAACAGCAAATATCAGAGCCAATCCTCGGCTGCCTAAGCTTACACAGGAGAGTTCCTCCTCTAGGCCAAAGCACAACCCCACAGCTCCAGGTGCAAGAGCAAAAGAGGGCCAAGTTGCTCCCAGTGGGCTGTGCTGCTCCCAGTGAAATAAAGTGTGTGTATGCTGGTGAGAGAATTTGGGGGGAGGGGAGGGATCAACTGTGGGCCTTTGGGGAGTCCAGAGAGCTACCAAAGAGACAAGGGTCTTTAAGTCAGGAGTCCTGGATAAAAGAGAGGGGCTGGAAGGGAATAAGAAACAAGGATGGGCCAAAACCGGTTTGGCTCAGTGGATAGAGTGTCAGCCTGCGGACTGAGAGGTCCCGGATTCGATTCCGGTCAAGGGCATGTACATTGGTGTGCAGGAGGCAGCTGGTTGATGTTTCTTTCTCATTGATGTTTCTAATTTTCTACCCCTCTCCCTTTCTCTCTGTAAAAAAATCAATAAAATATATATATTTTTAAAAAGAAACAAGGATGGTCTGACTGCTCTGATTCAGGAGATTGCAGTCTTAGATGGCTCCCAGCATCTCAGAGGCCTTCGGAGGCACACTACAGACTCTCCAACTGACCTTTGCCATCTAGGTCATACTGGTTGGCTTTTAAGCTGCCACAGAGCTGAAGGCAGCATGGCTACATGGAAAGAGCAGGGTCCCTATCTATCAATTCCTATGAGCTGGCCCTCACATTGTACACAGACGCTCCTCAGGGGCCAGTGGGCTGCCTTAACCCTCTCTCTTCTTCCCCGCCATGTGAACCTAAGCCACAAATGCTATGTAGGTACAGCCCAGCAGTCTCTCAGCACCTGGGCATAAGGGACATCCCAGGAAAGCCACCTGAGAGGACAGGGAAGGAACAGTTCAACAGCCTGACTTCTTTGGGCAGGCAGCCCCCCTGTACTCAGGAACCCCTTCACAGTGGTTACCTACCGCCACTGCGTGCTCTCGACCTGTCTGCCTTTCATCTTCCTCCATGCTCCTTCGGCAACTCTGGCAGACCCATAGAGGCATCTCGCCTAGGAGATTCTTGACGAGCTTTGGCATGAAGTCAGGGGGCAGCTTCTCACCCTGCAACACCAGTCCGTTTTGGGAAGGGCCTTCTTCCCAGCCTTTGCGTTCCCGATGACACAGCAAGCAACAAGTCTGCACAGACTGGCTGGAGGTGGGGGGAACCTGTCCAACAGACAGAAACAGGATTTCCCAGGAGGGGAAAGGCTGCTTAGATATAATATTATCAATACTAATAATGTCACTTAGTCTGTGCCATGCCCTGGGTTAGGCACTTTACATAATTTTAGCCATTGTAACAGCTCTGCAAAGTAGGTGTTACTATTCCCATTTTTAAAGATGAAGAAACAGATTTTAAGAAGTTAAATAAGGCCGAAACCAGTTTGGCTCAGTGGTGGAGCGTAGGTTTGTGGACTGAAGGGTCCTGGGTTTGATTCCAGTCAAGGGCATGTACCTGGGTTGCGGGCATATCCCCGATGGGGGGTGTGCAGGAGGCAGCTGGTCAGTGTTTCTCTCTCATCGACGTTTCTAGCTCTCTCTCTCCCTTCCTCTCTGTAAAAAATCAGTAAAATATATTTTTTTAAAAATGTAATTGATGACTAGAAAAAAATTAATCTGTAAAAAAAAAAAAAAAAAAGAAGTTAAATAAGTTGTCAAATGTTGCAGAGCTAGTGAGTGGTTGAACTAGGATTGAAATCTCAGTGAAGGTGACTCCAAAGCTCATGCTCAAATGCCTTAATGTCCCAATGTCACCAAGTCTTAAAGTTTAAAGAGAAGATAGCCCTTCCTTCTCTGAGATGTCTGAGAGAGGCCACAATCCTTGTGTTGTCTGTGCAGTCTACAGACAATCTGAAAGGACAGAATATTTCAGGTAATGTAACATGTGGAAAGACGTGGGTTTCCTGAAGAGCTATGTAATTCCATTAGGATCACAGCAGCATTTTGGAGGAAGGGTTTGTATAGCTAGTCAAAAGGCATCAACTGAATTGAAAATGGAATTGGAGAGAAGGTAAGGCAGACCCCTAGTGTTTCTGAGAGGCAGAGGTGTGGTGAAAAGAACCTGAGCTGTGAAGGTCAGACCGATATGTACTTTAACACCTGCCTGCCCACATTAGCTGGGTGACCTTGGGCAAGTTATTTAGCCTCTCAAGCTCCATTTCCTACCTACCGTGCAGAGTTGTGAGGCTCAATGCATAAACAGGGCAAGTGCCTAGCCCTGTGCATACCCAAAGGGTAGTCCCAATACATAGTAATTCTTATCTGGATCTTTCTTTTTCCCTTCTAAGAGAACTAGACATATGTATAGTTTTCTTTCACATTGAGGAATACTAAGAGGCTAATTGGATTTAATGACCCTTATTAATGGCTTTCCTATGTCCTACAGCGTTGCAGTCCCCTCTCACTCTGACATTGGGCATGGTCATGTCACTTTCTTTGCCCATAGGATATTAGCAAATGTGCTGCTGGCATAAGCTTGAAAAATGAATGCATTTCTACTTGCTTCCTTGCATGGCTGGGCTTGCTCACTCTTGTACCTCTGCCATGTCATAAGCATGATCAGGCTAGCTATTGGAGGGACGTGAGGGACGTGTGAAGAAAAATGAGTCTTTCTAGACAATTGGCTGGCAGATCAGATACATGAGTGAGCACAGCTAAGATCAGCCAAGCTGGCTCCAATCTGCAGAAATACCCAGTTAACTCATATATTCATGAGAAGTAACAGATGACATTGATTTACGCCACAATGTTCTGGGATGGTTTGTTACATGCAACTGTTAATGGATAACCTTCCAAACTTTCCCACCGCAAGGTAACAGGTGTTTGCAAAGGCCAACCAGAGGAATAATAAAAGTTATCATTCTCAACCTACCAGTAAAATTAATGCCATCATCTTTTTCTTTTTAAAACATATTTGTATTGATTTCAGAGCAGAACAGAGGGAGAGAGGGAGAGAAATATCAATGATGAGAGAAAAATCATTGATTGGCTGCCTCCTGCATGCCCATACTGGGGGATCGAGCCAGCAATCCAGGCATGTATCCTGACCAGGAATTGAACCGTGACCTTCTGGTGCATAGATTGACACTCAACTACTGAGCCATGTCGGCTGGGCAATGCCATCATCTTTTTCAAATAAAATCACCTTCTTAGAGTAAGATGGAATCAGAGTATCCTTAAATCTGTCACGTTACAATTACACTGACTTTGGTCCCTGATTTCTAGGGAAGAATAGGGACCAAACAGTAGTACCAGGGACATGAGGAACTTTTTGGGGAAGTACAAGGACCTTTGAAAAGAATACCAAAGGCATAGAAACCTTACATGTGAAACTCATATGAGATATTAAGAGCCTACACGGTCTTTGCCAAGGAAACATTTTAGTGAGCAAGACAGCTGCTCAGTAGCAATTACAACAAGGTACAGCCTCCTAGAACCCATTGGTGGTATCTCATGGAAAGGGTGGAAGGTGGATAGAGGAGGATGATGATCAGAGAGATTAAGGCAAAAAAGACCTTTTTGCGAAGTGTAACCAGAAAACTTTTCATAGCTACAATGAGCCATAATAACTGCAGAGGAACAAAGGCCCATACCCACGTTCCTTTCCTGTAACGATGGTGACCACAGTCTTAAGGCAAACACCTGGACATGTAATTTTACTACAACAGAGCTTCTTTTCAGTTAGGTGTTAGATTCTAAAGTTACAACATTAGATGAAAATCTTCTATGAGTAAATTTATTCTTGAAATGCTTTATATGGCCTGTGAAGTACAGCATATGTGTTTTAGGTATGACTGAGAATTCAAATGTACAATATACAATAACAATATACATTATAACAATATAAGATTAATTAGTTTTTTTTCTGTTTTCATATATATGAGAGAGGAAGGGAGAGAGACAGAAACATTGAAGAGAAACATCACAGATTGGCTGCCTCCTGCAGTCCCCCTACTGGGGATGGAGCCCACAATCCGGGCAAGTGTCCTGACCGGGAATTGAAGCAGTGACCCCTTGGCTCATGGATCTATGCTCAACCACTGATCCACACTGGGTGCTCTTTTCTTTTTTCTTTAAAAGCAAATACAGAATTCTTATAAGTTAAATATACTACCAACAGACTGCATTTAGTGCCAGAGTTGGTGTGCAAAGTGCTAGGGTGTAGTGGAAACAATACTGGCTTTGGCATCCTGGGACTCTATCACTTACCAGTTGTATGATGCCAGGCAAGTTATACTTACTCTCTGTCTTCTCATCTGTAAAATGGGATTAAGTCTGAAATTGTATGGTCAGCTGTGAGCGTGACAAAGCACCTAATCTGGTGCCAGCCCCATCATATGCTGCTCAACATATGGTACTAATTATGAACCAGATGGGAGCGATAGAAAACAGTACTTAAAACCAGGATTAGGGTAGAAAATATAGAAATACAGATCACTATATTTTACAAGAATGCAAGAATTTCTTAACATGCCATGACTCTAAGGTGACTTGTTAGACATCTTCATCTCTACCCTCAACTCCATGAAGTCATTACTTAAGTTCCCCAAATACTCAGTATTCTCCTACCTCATGCCTTTGCCTAAACACTCTTCCTTCCCATGTTTACCAATAAGGAGTTTGACAGGGCTTAACTGCCCAGCTTAAATCCAACCTTATCTAAGCTTTCCTAGAGAGCTCCTCTTATAATTCACCTCCCTTCACATATCCCACAGCACACTATGCCTTCCACTTAAGTTATTTACCTGTATCTTCTGTCCCTAGAAGGCAAGCACCAGATCTGATTCGTGTCTGGTTCCCTCACAATGCAACACAGGGCCTAGGCTCAGCTGGGCACATAGTAGCTAAATCAGACCAGTTAAATGTTCCCAGGGCAATATGCTGGCAAGCAGCTTGGTAAGAAAGACACTGCTTGAAATTATTGCTTCCCACAAAGGAAGGCCACCTCCCTACCCTGGACCTTCACCCAAATGGTTCTAATCTCAAGTGTGAAAGAGTGTAAAATTGCATTCTTTGGAGATTATGAGATGCCTCTGTTCATGGAAATAAAATAACTTTCCCTGTAGCCAAATTGGTACACACAATAAATGAGATTAGCCATCAAAGGAAGTGTATTTATAGGACAGTTGAAGAGGAAAACACAGAGCTTGGGAAGCTAATTAACATTAACTGAAGAAGGGATACCACCTACATTGCGTAAAGTTGCCCAGAGGATTAAGTGACATTATAGGTGCAGAGCTTACCTCAAGGGAGCCACACAATAGACACTCAATCTATTATGTAGGCCCCTGGGCTATTCTGTTCTTAATAAGTCTACAACAGAAACTAGCTTATCCACTGACCTGAGTTTGGCATAAGTGAGTCCTTCTTTCTAGGCAACCCTAAAACTGTCTTAACCCTCAGCCTTGGTGTCTGCATTGGGTACAATGCCTGGTGGGGCCTGGGGATTTTTCTATCTGACATTTTCATCTCTAACTGACAGAGGGTGGTGAGAACCCCAAGCGTGGAGATTTATATTCAGTCAGTACTACTACTGTTTCTTCACATTTTTGCTTTGGCAGAGAAAAGCTTGGATTGGAATTCCCTTTGACTCTAATCTCTTGTCATTTTCCAAATTCCTGGAACTTGTGACCCCTTATACTCTGAAGTCAACCCAAGCTTCCAACTACCGTAACTGTTCTCAAAATGTGTTGTTATCACCTGGCACAGTATTCCCCCACAAAGAATATGACCAATAAATATTTGTGAAATGAATGAAGCATTCAACTATTTTTCTTCATCACAGAGGCTGGTGGAATTGATTTTTAAACCCAACAGCCCTGGGCAACAACTAATTATTCCTTCCCACCTCAGTTAAAATTTCAGAGCCTTTGCAGACACAGGTCTAGACTTAGGCAAAAGGTGGGAGGTGGGGAGAAAGGGAAGAAACGATGCGAGGGGGTTCTCTTGAGTTGGGATTTGCTTAAACAAGCTCCAAGATAATTCCACTTCACTCTCTGAGCAAAACCAGAATCTCTGGAGAGTATGAGGTTACTCAAACGGGATCCGCATATTCCCAGAGCAGTCAAGGAACCAGGTAAGCCCTAGACTATAGCCACTCCCAGCCCAGAGGGTTGTTATGTGCAGCCATTAAAACCAGTATCTCTGCTCCCTCATCTGACCAGGCC